ATTATCAAGAAAGACTTTGATGAATTGAGTAACAACAAGTTATTGAAAAAATTTCTTTATGAGCTAACTCAAAATTGTAATAAAGGACTAAATAATATCATCTGGTCCCGATGTCCTTAAAATGTTTATGTAAAGACAAATGTTATTGAAATGGGAGTAAACTCAGCGTTTCTTTCTTTCAATGAAGGTTCATTTGGTATTTATTGTGTATTTAAACATTTAAATCTAGACTATGGAAAAAATACGATAACCAGTTCAATAAAAGACCAAAAGCGATTAGAGAATATGGTGAAAAAAATAATAATTACAAAAAAAAAAAAAAAAAAAGAGAAAAGAGTTGAGAGGAATTAGGAAAGGTTGCATTGATAAAGATCAAAAACAATTATCCAAATATATCTACAAGAAAGAATATTTAAAAAACTTTTTTTACTTATTTGCCTTTTATCTAAAAATAAAGATTTTAACATTATTTATAAACTCAAAACACGATATCTCAACATTAAAAAATGCCTAGATCTTCAAATTTTCCCCAATTGTTCAATACATATATATGTAGAGAATGAACTAAAATCTTGATAATTGAATGAATATTTATTGATTACTAAGTCTTTTCTGAACCTTACTCCCCTAGAAATTAGTCAATTTTTAGTTTTATGGGACTTAAAAGAAATATTTTTGTTTTTATATAATGATCTTAGTTCATCCTCTACTTCATATATCAGAAAATAATATTGCAAAGTACCGAGTTGTTTTAATTAGCCATTCTGGAATAATCGTGTTTTGAAAACTAAATAAAATATGCTTTTTGTACGTTTTTTATTAAAAAAAGATATATAACTGTTACACTGTTATTTATTGCTACGTTACTGCATAAGTTTATAATTTAAGTAATAAAAGCGTTACGATTATTTAAACCAACTTTTTAATATAATTTCAAAAGAGTTCATTTTAGATATATAGTTTTTATACAATTATTATTCAGTATTATATTATCTTTTTAACGGTGTATTTGAAGTGAACTTTTTTTTAAATCAAACAATTTTCTATGTGCCTATATTATGCCTAAATATGGACATTCCCGTGACACATGGGAAATGGATTGAGTTTTTTTTATTTCTGAATAACTGTACTAAAGAGCTTTAGTGTATTTTTTTATGACTTAAATGTTTTTTACCCTATCCCACTGTACTAGTTTGTAAAAAAATATAAGCGCAAGTAAAAAACGTTAAACACACAGACTAGTAGGTTGAATATTGCCTATAATTGGTCAAAAACTAATTTATATAAAATCGGTTAAAAAAAAAAATTCGGTCAAAAATGAAAACGTCATAAACCGGTCGAAAACTAAAAATGCTTTGATCGGTTTGAAATCAGGAGACGAGGTTAATATCTCCAATTACAGGCCTATCTCCATACTATCATGCTTTTCAAAATTACTTGAGCACATTATGTATAAAAGATTGTATTACTTTTTAGCTGCAAACAATATTCTTTATAATAAGCAATATGGATTTAAAAAGAGTCTACAGGCACTCAACTCTCAGGCAGTTGTTTATCTTGTTCAAAATATATTTAAATCAGTGTATTTATTGATCTCAGTAAGGCTTTCAACACTGTCGATCATTTCATTATATTAAGAAAATTAGAAAACTATGGTGTAAAAAATATAAATATTTCATGGTTTAGAAGCTATCTGACCAATAGATCGCAATACATTTCTTACAACGATGGTACAACGACCGATATGAATATGATGTGTGGGGTCTCTCAAAATTCTATATTAGGACCTCTACTATTTCTTATCTAAATCAATGATTTAAGTAAAGGATGCAGTGAACTAGATAGAATTTTATTTGCACATGATACAAACCCATTCTACACACTCGCGAAAAAGTGTGGAATTTTCTTCCACACCGGTGTGCAACTATCACTACTAGACACAAGTGTGGAGTTATTTTGCACAATTTTGTGCAAATAACTCCACACTTCTGTGCAGTGCTCGAGTTAGAAAAAGTTAATTTCCACAAAAATGTGCAAAATAACTCCACACTTGTGTCTAGGAGTGACAGCTACACCGGTGTAGAGGAAAGCTCCACACTTTCCTCGAGAGTGTATGCACATAATGATATAAACATCCTGTTTAAATCTGTAAACAAAGAGTTAATAAATCTGATTGGTTCAGTGCAAATAAACTATCACTAAATATAATCAAGACAAAATATACTTTTTTCCATCGTTTTCATGATCGAGATAATATTACTTTAAAACTTCCAAAATTCTGTATTGATAATCAATACGTAAAAAGAGAAATAACTTGAAATTTCTCGGTGTTCTGCTTAATGAAAAAGTAACGTGGAGTGATCACATACATTATCTCGAAAGTAAAATCTCTAAGAACATCGGTCTGATTTGTAGAGCAAAACCTTTTTTAAATCCATATTGCTTAAAATTTTCATATATATTTTTTCATTCATTGTCATCTAAATCATGCAAACATTGCTTGGTGCAGTACAAATAAAAATAAAATTAAAATCCTTTTTAAAAAACAAAAACATGCATCCAGAATCATATCTAATTTGGGACGTTTTACACATTCCAAAGCATCGTTTATTAAGCTAAATATAAGGATTTTCATAGTTAGAGAGGGGTATTAAGGACCTATAAATTTTATCTTTTTGTTTGTTTGTTGTTTGTTTCTTATAAATATAAAAATTCTATATAACAATATTTTATATGCTTTAGTGCTGTAGTTTTACGATTTTTATATTTTATTATTGCGTATTAAGGTATAGATTAAGGGGCTTGGCGATAAGACAAATGTCTCCTTCTTGCCCCTGGTATTTATATTTACATATGTTTTATGTTATGAGTAAATTCATATAGCTAAAAAAAATAAATAAATAAAAAACATCCAAGTTAGAGGACAATAAGAAAAGTTAGACAAAATAAAAGCATTAAACAGAAAAAAAAGATTCACCATGGGATAAAAAGTTTCTTATGCGTGAAAGAGAAAAACATTTACCATCGCTTCACTGTTTAATGTGTTCCCCAAACTTTAGATCTTTATCAATTGTTATAAAAAGTAGTTTTACCTTATCGGAGGTTAAAACCCTTATATTACCTATTTTTAACGATAGATTTTTTGTGTTTGAGAAAACCCTTATATTACCTATTTTATTTTAGTGATGGATTTTTTGTGATTGTAAGCTGTTGCGACAGTAGCTCGTATTTTATTTAATTGCCCCACCAACAAGTTCACCATTAGAACGTTTGTTCAGTGTTGCTGGGAAGATTCTCAATAATCATCGTAGTTCGCTCCTTCCACATAAAACACCTCGCTTAATATTTCTAAAGTACAATTCGTTACTGATCAAAGAAATTTTAGAAAAATAATTAAAACTAAAGTTAAATTACTTTACTTTCAAATTAAAAGTTTCAATCGTTTATCAATTATTTTCTTATGTAATGATATGTTATGTGAAATTTTATTCTTCTATTTTAATAACAACAATGAAGTTTAACAAAAAACAGTTGTTACTTGGTATTGAGAATGGTCAATATTGTTGACCACTATCAGTATCAAGTAGAAAAGTACAGAAAATCCGGTTCCGGGCGTATTAGGAAAAATTAAATCCAATACAGCCCTAGTTTTTAAGACGTCCAACAAACCTTCTATACCCGGTGAAAATGAACTCTCGCAGAAAATTTGTATAAGCTAGTAGGAAAGTAAATTTCTTTCTTAATACTTTTTTCCGTAATATATATATATTTTTTTTACATTTATTTTTCTGTTTAACAATAAATAATCAAACAAATATATATACAAGAAAGAAAAAATATGTCCGTAGAACAAAGGAGACAGTAAAATCTTGTTAACAAGCACATTTTTGCACATACAGTATAAAATAATCATTCTTTTTACAATCATCTTTATAAAATAAAAAATTAAACAGACAGGGGCTCAAAGAAAATGAAGATGACAATACGTCATCGCAATCTCATCCCCTATATGCACTTTCCATAGAATGTAGATATTAAATTAAAAAGCCTAATCAGCATAAAACTGCTGCGCTGATCAGTCAAATAAAGATAAAATATAAAAAAAAAAATTAGAAAATAAATAAAATTTCTTGGTAATAAATAAAATTCCTTTAAGCATAAAAGATTCTCAAATTTTAAAAATTGCTTTTTTTATTAGAAACTTAAATGAACTTAATGACTTTGCCATACATTTAAATCCTTTTGATAACTATTCTATATATTTGGCCCTCGATGTGCAATGCTATATTCAGTATATTTATTAATGTTTTGAGGCAGTTTATATGTGTTACTTATATTTGCTCTTAGATAATAGTTTTCATTTATGTTTATTTCAAACTTGTTATTAAAGTTTGCAGGAGAGATATTATTATTGAGTTAATACATAAAAATTAAATGCTGATAGATATTTATTTCAAAAACATTCATCATTTTCATATCTTTCATTATAAGTTTAGCATGTTCACGCTTATTTTTATAGTAAATGATTCTGCACGCATGTTTTTGTAAATATGTATTGTGTTAATATATTTTTAAATAACCAAACCATTACAAATAATATTAAATGTTTCTTCTTCTTTTTCTTTTTTTAACGATTAACCAAAGTAAACTTAACAAACTCAAACATTAGATTACTTAGTGCCTTAGACGTACTTAATAGTTATGATAAAAAAAATTTATAAAATATAGTGCGATTCTCGAAACAAGTACGATTCTCGAAAAAAAATGTTTCTAGAAGTTAATGTGCCATCTCCAACACTGCTCATACCCTTAGATTCATCCCCCTTTCTCCATACGCTAGACCTGAAGCCGCTACTGATTAAGGCCTTTTAAGGAGTTATGCTCTAAAATCGGCTTATGTGTTAACCGTTAATACAATAGCCAAATTTGCTGTCAATGTCATTTACCCTCCCCCATATTGGACACGGTATTTTTTTGGAAGCGCCAAGTAAATTCTTGTTTAAAAAACGTTGTGTCGATTACACGATTTTTCTTATTAGTATTAAGTTATTTTTCTTACGTTTTGCAGTGGAAAGGGCGAGTCAAGGATCGACTATCCGCGTTATTAAACATAAAACTACTGTATTACAATTTTGACTTTAATATCTTCTTTACAGTCAAATGGATTTACAAACAGCTGAAGCTGTAGCTATTGCTTTCTGCAATCATTATTATGGCATGTTCGATACCGATCGATCCAGTTTAGCATCTTTATTTGTAAGACATGATAAGTTCTGATTTTTAAATTGCTTCACAGATCTAAAAAAAATTTTAATGTAAATTATTTTTTTTACACGCGTGGAAATTTTACAAAATTTTTTTGCAGTGAATTTTTAATAATAATAGTTAAACGTATACCCTTATAGCAGTAAGTTATATTGATAGTAAGTTTAACGTATACCCTTATATTTGTCCCAAAAAAACGTATACCCTTATATTTAATCAAAATTAAAAAAAGCGCAAACAGTGTGAAACTTAATATAATAAGAGATTAGCATATGTGTAAGCTTTGGTGCATATACTAAATTCAGTACATATGTTAATTTCAGTTTGTCTCAAACTAAAATTTAACATATGCCGAAAATTTACTTGGCAAAAGTAAATTTTATTTATACATAATTATGTTTTTTATCTCAAAAAATGTGTGTTGCATTACCAACCTAAATCTGCAATATATATATATATATATATATATATATATATATATATATATATATATATATATATATATATATATATATATATATATATATATATATATATATATATATATATAATATTGTATCACATGTGTGACACACATGGCATTTGTGTGTGTGTGTATGTATATATGTGTGCCTGTATAAGTAAGTATGTATATGTTTATATATGAGTCATTCTATGCCAACTGGACCAAAGTCCAACATGGGCCCCCTCAGATTTTAATTAAACTAAGTGGGTTTGTTAATATCAATAAGAAAAGCAATTCCTGAAAATTTCAGCATAAAATCTTTTGTGGTTCATGAGATATCGTCATTTGAAATTTATAATTTTTTCCAAAAATAAAAACTTCAATTGCAAAAACATGTTTTGGCATACTTTGAAGCTTTATATTTTAAAAATAAAATTTCAGAAAACCTAGTTTTTTTATTGTATACAACTCTAGACTTTAATAAAACTTTGACATTGAATTCTTGAATGTCACATTTTTTCCTTTATGGCTGCCTAAAAAACCAAAAAAAAAATTGTTTGCAAGTATAAAAAGTTGATTTTTGAGTCAATATACAAAACCTTTAGTTTAGAAGTGAAAAGAAATATTTTTTTAGTTTCTGTAAATGCTAGGCTTCTAAATTTTTAAAAATTTACTATTTAATACAATTTAGTAAAAAATTATACAATTTTTTACTGAATTGTATCAAATAGTAAATTTTATTTGATACAATTCAATAAAAAATTATACAATTTGATACAATTCAGTAAAAAATTATACAATTTGATACAATTCAGTAAAAAATTATAGACCTCTAAAAATGGCTCCGCTAAAACTTAGAAAAGTGTGCCTCCATTTCAAACTGCTGGTAACCTAAGATCAACACTAGTTTTAATAAGATTTTTTTGTTCTTCTAATTTAATAGACTTAATTACAGTGATCCCAGAAAAAAAAATAGTGGGTAATCATGGATAAATTTCAAAATCAGAACAATGAAAATTACCCAAAATACATTAAAAACATTAAAAATGTTGTTTTTTGTACTTTAGTTTATATATTGTAATACAAAGTATGTATGAAGTCAAAAGTATTTGTTAATTAGTACTAGAAATAAGTCTTAAATTAAGCGTTAAACTTAAGAGTTAAACTCAGTTCTTTCCTGCCCCTCCCCCTCCCCTGTCCATTTACTTTTTAACAATCACATTTTTCCCCAGAACTTAGAAAAACTTGTAATCGAACATTTCTCCTTACATGGTGTGTCTGGTTTTATACCTGATGTATGAAGTGCCTTTATGCCCACACACACTAAACATGCATATATAAAAACTGAAATTTAGTTTTTAATGAATTTATATAAAACTTATTAGTAGGTAAAACTGAAACGAAAGACTTTTAGTCTATTTTACTTGATATTTAATATCATGACTATGCATTTTATATTTTTCAAATACATTCTCCATTAATTTGAGTAATTTGATTATCATTTTCAAATTTAGATTACAACTTATACTAAGTTGCAAAAGTTATTTGACTTGTCAACACAATGCACATGTTAACTATGTAATAAAGAATATTATTATATAATAAACAATCAATATAAACATTGAATCTTTTAAATGATTTTTGCTGAAAAACCTAGGCGAAAGTGGTGTATTTCTATTGAAGTTGCTTCAGGTCTCCATTAAGTATGTGTTTGTGGGTACCATTAAAATACAAAACTTTTAGCATTATAAATACCAGATATTTCAGATTATAAAGACTTCTTGACATTAGTTGTATGTGACTTAAAAAATCGGGACTGCATGCTGCACAGTTGCAATAACTGCCCAGATACCAACACACTAAAAAAGTAACTTACTGCTTAGACACAGCATGGAAAATATCACCTTTTATCAGTGGCAAAAAGCTAACAAAAAACATGTTGTAGTTCAAGTAACTCTTCCTGTGTATAATTTTAATGAAAAAGCTTGTCAACAAATAGACCAATTAAGAGACCGCCATTATATAGCCAAAAATTAGGCAGCATGTTTGCTGCATCTAAAATACCATTACCAAGTAATCATATTTTACATAAAATGTAAAAGTGTTTGTATCATTTTAGATCATTTGCAACACAATACAAACTCAGTTCATTGTTTCATTTATGAAGTAATAAAACAGAAGAGTTGTTGCCTTACTTTACCCATTGCATTTATTTTAGTGATGGTGCAGGTTCGCAATACAAAATATTATTAAAACATATCTAAGTTATGTCACCATTATTTTTATTTCATTTATCAATCATTTCAGCTCAAGAAAAAACTGAATTATTTCTTTGTACAAAAGCATAAGTAACAATTAAGTAATTACATAGCAAAATTATTATAAATTTGAATTTTTGGATTTTAACATGGTTTTTTAGCAAAAATTATTTAAAAGATTCAATGTTTATATTGATTGTTTACTATATAATAATATTCTTTATTATATAATCAACTTGTGCATTGTGTTGACAAGTCAAATAACCCTTATAACTTGGTATAAGTTGTAATCTAAATTTGAAAATGATAGTCAAATAAGTTAAATTAATGGGGAAGGGTGAAATAGTATATTTGAAAAATATAAAGTATATAGTAATGATATTAAATATTAGGTAAACTAGACTAAAAGTTTTTCGTTTCAGTTTTACCTAATAGGGCAGGAAAGAGCTAGGGCTAATTAAAAACTGAGTTTAACTCAGGCTTAATTAAATACTAATTATAAAATACTTTTAAATTCATACATGCTTTGTATTGCAATATATAATACAAACTTAAGTACAAAAATAACATTATTTTTATTGTTTTTAATGCAATTTGCAGGCCTTGCGATAAAGCGTCGGGCGATGTGAATTTTACGTTGTCCAAGAGCGATTTTGCGTGTTGCTAGGGCTATTTGCGTTGAGCAAAAAATTTTTTGTTTGAGTATATTTAAAAATATTTTTTGAGCGGAATTTTAATGAAGTAATTTACGATTATTTTTTAATAAAGTATTTTAAAAACCGCACGCAATTGATATAAAAGTTTGAATTACAAAAAAATTAAATAAATCAGATAAAAAAAAAAGTTTAAATCTTTTTGAGCATTTTAATAAAATTATTCAGCAATAGCAAAGTTGTCAATAAAATAGAACAAAAATACTTTTAGTTTTAGATTTTAAACTTAAATAATTATTTTACGGGGGTTTGTTAGGTTTTAAAATTATTCCATATGTTTAAAAATATTTATTAACTGTTAGACGTATTTAAAGTATTTAAGAGTAATTTTGAAGAAACATTTTAAAAATTGGTAAGCACAAATAAAAAAAATAAAAGGATTAATATTAAAATGTATTCTACTTGATTCAATAAAAAAGTACAGCTATTAAATTTTTGTAAAAAGTAACTCGAAAAAAATTACTTAAATAATAACAATCGTTTTTTTGTTAAAAGTTACCGAAACTCAACAAAGTGTGCCCAAGAACAGCTGCTTAAAAATAGAACGTCAAGAGTTTTTCGAATAATTTTTAAGAATAATTTTTTCGCTGAAATATGTCTTTTATACCTATAAGGTTTTTATTCTAACATTTTATTTTATTTTACCAAAAATAAAATTCCTTGTAAACATTAAAAATCTCGTTAAAGTTTTTTTAGTAATACAAGTGATTGTGCTTATCAACCGCTTTATGAAAATAAATAAAAATAAAAAGATATTATATAAAATCGCTAGTAAAAATATTAGCTATTGCACAGTTTTTATTCGTACAATATTAAAATTTCCAGTTTATAACTCGCTGACTTTTTAAAAAGAAAAAATAATTATTTGAAAAACTTTAAATTACATATTTGAGGAAAAAAAAATCAAATATTAGCATATTTTATAATCTTTTTTAAATGTTTAGTTGTAATGTTTTTTATTCGTTTAGTTTAGACAAAACGTGTCAAACGTCGAGAAAATAAACAAATGTTTTTACATTTTAAAAAACGAAACATTCCAAAACATTTTTAAATAATAACATTTCTACATAAATGATTTAAAGTAGTTTTGCGGTAATTAAGTAAATTGGTGCAGTTTATGTCAATAAATATGAAAAGCAAATAAAAAGAATTTAATGACGTCAAAAATCATGTCGTGCTTATGCGTTGTGCAGTTTTTATTCATCACAAGGTCTGAATTTGGGTAATTTTTATTGTTCTGATTCTGTAACGTCCCTATGATTAACCACTATTTTTTTTTCTGGAATCACTGTAATAAAGTCTATTAAATTAGAAGAAAAAATCTTATTAAAACCAGCGTTGATCCTTGGTTACCAGCAGTTTGAAATGGAAATAGCATATATATTTCTATATATGCTAGGCTTCTAAATTTCTAAAAATATAGAAGTCTAGTTCTTAAATTGCAGATTTTGTATATTGACTCATCAAAAATCAACTTTTTATACATTTTTTTCAGTTTTTTAGGCAGCCATTATGGAAAAAATGCGACATTAAAGAGTTCAATGTCCAAGTTTTATTAAAGTAAGTCTAGAATTG